ACTACCAAATACAGAAGAAATCATAAAAGCTTGTATTGTTGTTGCTGAATGTGTTGAGTTTTCAGCTCTACCAAGTAACCGACCTCCTGAGTAATTTACAGCTGATTTCATATGGATTTCATCCATTTGCACCGCTACAATCTTTTCCAAATCAGAAAGCCTGCACTCTTTAAATTTTAGGTATCCAGAAATGCTACCATCACTGTTAGACAGTGCGCAAGGTGAAGTTAAACTTGTTAATGTGTTCGGATGTGGGAGATACAATAACATAGATTTTCTGATAAATCTGTAGCATGCAAGAGATTTGATGAAAATCATATAGGAAAAACACAATGTACAACTGCTGTAGCGTCTGGCATATTTGCTCTTATTAATCAGTTGAATCTGTTCTGTCATGAACATTAATTGCTTTTCAGCTGTCTGTACATTAGTGTCCTTAGATGATAACAGGAGTTCTCTAGCAATATCTAAGTTACTGCAAGCTTCTTCCAACAAATCACTGAAACTCTTCGGAGATGTTGCGGAGTCAGTCTCCTTGTAACGAATCAGCAGATTTTCTAGTTGTGACCATCTTTCCAATTTACTTTTAGTAATAATCCAGTCAAAATCTTGACTTGCAGCCTGTTTACTTTCCATATACACTTCTACACACATATCTGGTAAGATCTTTACACTTACTGATATTGATGGTGCAGTGTCTGCTTTCACACTGACTGTGTACAGTACACGACAACATGATGTACCCTCTGTGACAGTATACATTTTCCAGTTCGTATCTAACAAGTCTTTTAATTTGGTGGTAATCTGACACTGCAGCGTTTCAAAATTCTCTACAATATCCATTGATAGCCACTCGCTGTTATTATTTTCATATCTGCTGACAATTTTTGATGCTCGTCGTTTTTTAGGTTTAGGATTTTTGCGAGCTTGTGGTGCTTCTATTGATAAGTAGGCTGGCAGTTCTGGTAACACAGATGGATATGCATTTGATTTTAAAATATAATACTTTCTGGGTACTTCATGTTCAACACCAGATTTATCTGTAAATTTGTTCGATACAATAATATCACAGGGAAGAAAATGATGACGACACACCACGCTGTATTTATTAGGCGACCAATCTTTACGTGGTATGTACTTCTTCCATTTATCTCTCATTTCAGAATCCCTTGAGAATTTAAATACAGTTACATATTCACTCGTCGATCTATAATTAGATTTACATAAAGGAATTCTACAGTTCCTAGGCATTTTTATTTATATAATCACACGCAAAACAGTTAAATATAGTTACTGAATTATGTATCCTCAACACGCAAAACATCCGAACAAAGAACACATCGGTCAAAGAAGGAAGGAAGTAGGGACTCCCTTCCGTTATGTTATGTGATTAGTTGGAAGGACCTATAAATAGCCTGAAGATGGGCGTTGTTGCCAGCATATACAGTCTGTACAAATATTTTTGTACCCCCCCCCCCCCCCCCCCCCCCCCAATCCCCTTCCCTTCTACTCTCTCTTGGCCTCGTTTCTTTATGGTAGAAAAATCCACAACCAGTTGATACTGGTTCGTAAATTCTCCCTTCCTCTGAACCTTACTTTATGTTCTCGTTTTAGAGCTCATCTATCGTCTCTAATATATTTTTTTCTGTGTGTTGTGTGCTTTCATCTATTTCTTGTGTTCTAGAAATTTCAATGCAAGAACATTCTAGCTATACTATTGTTAGATTTCATTGTTGTTTATTATATCTAGCGGCTGATTCCTAGCCTACTGACTTAACCGGAATGTATTTAGCTACTTTCTGAAACCCCCATATATGGGATTCGGTGAAAGCATGTTAGTCTTTCCTTTCTTCCGCGGACACCACCAACATCACACTATATAGACTATAAGAGTAATATGATACATGTTGAAGACACAATCAAACAAAAATATCACCTGTGAATAGATGGCCCAAAACATAACAACCAGCGCACAGAATGGGAGTATCTTGATGACGCTGACAACACCGTCAACAATGGCATCCTGGTGTTTCCCGCCATATCTCAGTCTGGCGCCATTCAGAAACGTTTTCTCATCAGAAGACTTGTCTGTCGTTGTTTTGGTGTTGGTATCTTCCGTATGTTCGAGCACCTGAGAGGTTTTCTTGCTCTGGATAAGATGTATGGGGTCAAACTAATCATAAAACACAATGTATAATGTCCTAAACATCAGTTTAACATTGTTCTGTTCTTACATCGCATAGGGCTGACAAGGTATTTTTCCAACACGCTTTATGCGGTCCAGTACTAGAGATATCGTGTATGGACGCAAGTCTGGAAAATTTGGCTTCTCTCGTGTGCGCCAGGCCGTTTCTCTTGGACGTCCTCACTTCTTCATTCCATTTGTTCCACATTACACCTCGGCTTGTGCCAGGGGCCCTAAATATGGACTAATGGCTGAACGAAGTTTCCGGCACCTTATCCGCATGCTGGCACTTTGTGTCACGGGGTGTTTATTGCTTGTGTAATGTCCTGGTGGGGTACTATTTACCTATCTACAAAAGCATTTTGTAATTTTTTTCACCCCGTCGCTTCAGAATGCACACAGCCATTCCGATCTGTTTTGTCTTGTAACCCGGTAATACCAGAGATACCAGCGGTTGTCCAAATATTTCTCTAATTACTTCGTGATACCAGTGGTTGTCCAAATATTCCTCTAATTACTTCGTGATACCAGCGGTTGTTCAGATATTTCTCTAATTACTTCATGATACCAGTGGTTGTTCAGATATTCCTCTAATTACTTCATGATACCAGTGGTTGTTCAGATATTTCTCTAATTACTTCATGATACCAGTGGTTGTCCAAATATTCCTCTAATTACTTCGTGATACCAGCGGTTGTTCAGATATTTCTCTAATTACTTCATGATACCAGTGGTTGTCCAAATATTCCTCTAATTACTTCATGATACCAGTGGTTGTTCAGATATTCCTCTAATTACTTCGTGATACCAGTGGTTGTTCAGATATTTCTCTAATTACTTCGTGATACCAGTGGTTGTTCAGATATTTCTCTAATTACTTCATGATACCAGCGGTTGTCCAAATATTTCTCTAATTACTTCATGATACCAGCGGTTGTTCAGATATTTCTCTAATTACTTCGTGATACCAGCGGTTGTTCAGATATTTCTCTAATTACTTCATGATACCAGCGGTTGTCCAGATATTTCTCTAATTACTTCATGATACCAGCGGTTGTTCAGATATTTCTCTAATTACTTCATGATACCAGCGGTTGTTCAGATATTTCTCTAATTACTTCGTGATACCAGCGGTTGTCCAGATATTTCTCTAATTACTTCGTGATACCAGTGGTTGTCCAGATATTTCTCTAATTACTTCATGATACCAGTGGTTGTCCAAATATTCCTCTAATTACTTCGTGATACCAGTGGTTGTCCAAATATTCCTCTAATTACTTCGTGATACCAGTGGTTGTCCAAATATTTCTCTAATTACTTCATGATACCAGCGGTTGTTCAGATATTTCTCTAATTACTTCGTGATACCAGCGGTTGTTCAGATATTTCTCTAATTACTTCATGATACCAGCGGTTGTTCAGATATTTCTCTAATTACTTCGTGATACCAGCGGTTGTCCAGATATTTCTCTAATTACTTCGTGATACCAGTGGTTGTCCAGATATTTCTCTAATTACTTCATGATACCAGTGGTTGTCCAGATATTTATCTAATTACTTCATGATACCAGTGGTTGTCCAGATATTTCTCTAATTACTTCGTGATACCAGCGGTTGTCCAGATATTTCTCTAATTACTTCATGATACCAGCGGTTGTCCAGATATTTCTCTAATTACTTCATGATACCAGCGGTTGTCCAGATATTTCTCTAATTACTTCGTGATACCAGTGGTTGTCCAAATATTCCTCTAATTACTTCATGATACCAGTGGTTGTAGAGATATTTCTCTAATTACTTCATGATACCAGCGGTTGTCCAGATATTTCTCTAATTACTTCATGATACCAGCGGTTGTCCAGATATTTCTCTAATTACTTCGAGATACCAGCGGTTGTTCAGATATTTCTCTAATTACTTCATGATACCAGCGGTTGTCCAGATATTTCTCTAATTACTTCATGATACCAGTGGTTGTTCAGATATTTCTCTAATTACTTCATGATACCAGTGGTTGTCCAGATATTTCTCTAATGAAGTCTTCAGATATAACGGCTCCTTTCATTTTCTCATGAAAAGATTTAAAGAGGCACAGTAGTAAGAGTGGTATTTAGCAAGGATCTTGATCAATGACCACACCCCCAAACCACACACACACACAAATGATTGGGGCTAAACTCCAAACACATTGGTGGGGGGGGGGGGGTATCAAATTCCAGGTCCCGGCGCCTATGGCAATGACCCAAGTTAAACCAGCACCTGCTTTCACACCATCAAGAACAGGCCACTGTCTTCTTCATGTTGCTGGCTCCTAGTTGGACCACAGTCGAAAGGTACAAAGCCATAATTCAACTATATAAATGCTATTAACTGTATTATTTTGAAGGACGATCGAATTTTACATATAAAATGTTGATTAATGATAAGGGCAGTCAACATTAAAAAAGTTACCCTCCAGAGTCCCTGATGGACAACAGCAACGAACGTCTTCAGAGAACTTCCTGGAATAAAATAGAGAAGATCTTACTACAAAAAAAATTTTCATTCTGAACGTATACTTTATGTATAGGTATATTCTATATAGCTTTATACTGAACTGTGTATCTGTCACGTGGCTTCTTCCTGTGGTGGACTGGTGTCTAGAATTTTTGTCTCGTTGACAAAGGCTTCGGTCGAAATTTTCGATAGTTTCTACACGTTTTTTTTTTTTTCATTCACATTTTTTCCCTTCTCCCTTTGTTGAATTTCTAGTCATGTCTTGTGTTCAGTAAATGTATTTCTGCATAAAATGCAGGGGTTTGCAATTGTTGTTAAGTGAGCTGTCGTTGTTAGTTAAGTAAACTAAATGGTCTTTTCAAGTCTTTGGCGCATTGGGCGTATGGTATTAGTCCCATATTTGTTCAGACCAGTCAGCGATTGATGTTTAAGGTGTTCGACGTCACCCTGGCCCCTTTACTTCCCAAGAAATGACCTAGTACTCAATTGGATCGCTGGATCAGCCTGAAAACCGTACGTATAATTTTACAAATCGAGTTCTTTGTAGATTGTAACCCAAAATCTTCGGACCAGCTGGCAAGCATCTAACTACTGTACCACTGAAGCTTCTGAGAGAAATACTGGGTGAGATCAAGTAGATACAAATTAAGTGATGTTGCATTTCGCCTTGAAGAGACTCAGAAAGAGAAGATTACTGTTGCTATCGTGTACACTTATGAGAAGATTAGTTAATACACAAATGAACTGTTTCTACACACGATGCTTAACGGCAAAAGTGAAAGTTGATGATAATTATGGTGAAAATGATGAAGATGATGATGATAATTATGTTGATGATAAACGTAACTTTATATAGCGTGTGATACAAACCTTGAGGTTTAGATGTGTTGTACACAGGTTTGGCCAGCACAAACACAATCACAGCAGTCAGCATGATGACCAATGGGGCGAGGAAGCCCCAGACAAAGCTGATGTTTTGTTCAATGTAAGCGATGCCCGTGTACGCAATCACAGAGCCAACAGCTGTAATCCAGTAGAACCTTAACAGAAATGTTGACTGCAAATGTTCAGCTAAAACATGCAAACGTTTCGACAAACTGTTCATTTTCTACGTAACAAACGAAAGCAGTAGAGATGTAGTAGGTAAGTCAGTATGTAAGAGACCTTTGAACGCCAGTAAGGCAACAGAAATACGGTGCAAGACAAGTTTGTGTAAGCCCAACATGGAGATGTGGATTTACAGAATAATTTCTCGTGTTTCGGGGAAAATATGCGGAAGTATAGAATATATATCCGCTCATTTGTCTTCAGCTTTTTCTTCCAGTGGGATTTGTAATAGTCTAAAAAAATTTAATAAGGTCGAAATGCTGCACTTGTCTCTGTTCTTAAACAATTCAACAACAACAACAACAACAAAAAAGTTGTTTAGTCTTACCATAACCTCTGTATTTGATTGCCTTTGTTTCCATGAAGTACGACATATTATTCTGTGTATCTACATCTCCATATTTTCCTTGAAACACTACACATTATTCATTCTGTATATCCACATCTCCATATTCTATATATCTTTTTTGCCTGTATATCCACATCTTCCTTAAAACACGACACATTCGGTGTGTCATCATCATGTAGCAGGTCCTTTGCAGAACGTCGCTCTCATCACGGTCTGCCTGAAAGAAACTTGGTCTCTGGCCAATTCTCGCGCCTCATGTACTTTCATACTCAAGGAGTCACTTATATCATGTGCCCATCTTTGTGTTGGTCGGCCCCTGCCCCTCCTTCCGGGTACTATGACTTCTGCTATAATTTTTTTTCCCCAATCCGTCGTGGTGCTTGATATAAATAAAACATTTCAGCTTCTGAGACAGGATGCTGTCTATTAGCCAATCTTCTTTGATGTTCAAATCTTTCAAAATGTCAGTATTTCTCCTCGTCTTTGTCCAAGATATTCTGAGAATCTTTCTATAGCATATCAGCTCAAAAGTCCCTATCTTCAGGACTGAGAGATAGTCCACGACTCCCATCCGTATGTAGCCACAGAGAAGATGCATGCCCTCAAAATTATAATTTTGATCTCCTTGCTAGTGCTTAACCATAGACTTTTAAGGCTGTTCAATCTTTGCATTGCTATGGCCATCCTACTTTTAATTTCTGTCAAACAGACAGTATGTACATCTTCATATTTTCCTTGAAAAACGACATATTAGACATAGACTGCTATACAAGATGGGGGGGGGGGGGAGTTGGACGAACAGCAGCCTCACAACATGTACAGACCAGAGAGAGAGAGAGAGAGAGAGAGAGAGAGAGAGAGAGAGAGAGAGAGAGAGAGAGAGAGCATGTTGAAGATCCGCTACAGCCATTTCTCATTGTGGAGCTGTCACCTGACTGATTATGAAGAATGAAAGAATCTACAGCTGGCATCACTACACTTGGGACATTCCTGCATCTTCTCTGTCCCTTCTTTTGAAAGCTATTAGAAGAGTTTCCCTCCCGATGGCGCCAGTTGTATCCTGATTGAAAGTACGTCCTTCTTTTGCCCTGAGTGTTAAATATTGTCCAGATCCTCTGCTCAATCCCTGCTGAATCAACCTCTGAAATTATGGTCATTGTCTTTTCTTTTTCACTGGTCAGTTATTTTGAATTTTAAATACCATGTTCGCTTCATCGTGTAGTAGATCACCATCCAGAGGAGTAGCACCAGTAGCCACCCTATCTGCCTGTTCACATTCCCGCGCATCCTAATCTCCTGAGCAGAAAATGTATAATTTGAACGTGATCTAAATCATTTCAAGCCGCTCAATGCACAGGACACCTGTTTTCTCTCCCCCTCCCTCCCCCTGCAAGCATGCTCCGTGTGTCTGCTACAATTACAAGCAAGTTGGGCGGTTCTCTTCTCTAGCCAACTGGAAAATTGCCGTTGCTGCCTCCATCGCTATTCTCATGGCAGTATTGGACAGGAGGATCTCTATTTTTTGAAACTAATAATGGAGACATTGGTAACCTGGGTGTACAAGTTTTAGTTGCCACCAGAGGGCGCCCACCATGGCTCTAAGTGATCATGGCTCTAAGGGCAACCCAGCCTAAAAAAATTTTGTTAGCAAATAAAGAACTGGAAAGTAAAGGCGACCAGCAGGATGTCTAATATCGAATGCTCGATGTGCGACTGGCGAAAAAGGGTTATTGACCTTGCTTACTTCATTAGGGAATCCTACAGCCTTCTTGGCAACCAGCATTCTGACACCGTGGCTTGACTGACTGAAGGCTATCATGAAATGTTACTTCTGATACTGAATGAAATAAAGAACGTCTGGTAAAAATGGTTGCTGTTTGACACGATTCCTTAGAGAAACACAACTCCTCTGAATAGCTGAAAGCAAACAGCGAAGAGGTGGACAAAAGACTTCTTGGGTTGTTAATGAAAACATGGACAGTTTTTGGACATGACCTTCTCGACCCCCCCCCCCCCCCCCCCCCCTTGTTTTTATCTCCACCCCACCACACCACTTTTCCGCTACTGTGACGAACCGACAGAAAGATATCAGATTACCATTGTAGCCAACGTCATCGAGATACTAAGATGGTTCAGAGAGTTGGGGGGGGGGGGGGGGGGGGGGAGGAGGAGGAGGAAGCGGATGAAAGAGAGAGAGAGAGAGAGAGAGAGAGAGAGAGAGAGAGAGAGAGAGAGAGAGAGAGAGAGAGAGAGAGAGATTGAGACTAAGACAGAGAGAGAGATATTGAGACTAAGACAGTAAGAGAGAGAGAGAAAGAAATATTGAGACAAAGACAGAGAGAGAGAGAGAGATGTTGGACTAAGACTGAGATATATATATATATATATATATATATATATAATATATATATATATATATATATATATATATATTGAGACTAAGAGAGAGAGAGAGAGAGAGAGAGAGAGAGAGAGAGAGAGAGAGAGAGAGAGAGAGAGAGAGAAATAGAGTTATCGAAGGGAAAATTCAAAGGATACAGTATACCAGGAACCTACATCTGTACAAAAACGAATGACTGCACTATAAGGCTAGGAAAATGATAACCGTGATGGTGATCACGATGATAATAATGATGATAAAATTAAGGAAATATTTTTCTTTAAACGAATTGAATCTTGTATGATGATACTTGTGATATATACTTGTGTACACTTAAAGCTTGGTGTATTTTTATATATTTATGTTTATTTTATTTTTGTCTTCTTCTTCTTCTTCTTCGCGTTCACCTGTAGTAAACTCCGGATTAAGTTCTGGATGTTTGTCTACACCTCTAGACTTTAGTCTTGTTCCAGAACATGAGTGTTGCGTGCACACCCGTTTAACAGATCTGACTTATTTGTATGTAAATTGTTGGTTCCTTGCCTCTCAGGCAGATGCACTGAGAATTCGAAGGAAGCACCCAGTTAGTCGACTATTACGACATGCTTATTGGGAGAAACAGTGGGTCTATAATCTTGTTTTTCTGCCCACAATGGGGCCCAGGAACCCACACGGAAAATTCATGTGTCTTACATTTTTTGATTTCAAAGTTATGGCTTCACCTACCAGTTGAAGAAAGAGTTGACCACCTCCTGGCCAAGATATTCCACTTGTTCAGCGCCGAAGGGACTCACATTTGCCTTGACACCCCCAGTTCCAATAGCGATAAGAACCAGCCCCACAATAAATATAGTTCTCCTTCCTGCCTGGATATATAGATATATAAATATATATTAAACCAGGAATTAATTGACATTTTAAAATAAATAACAGGTAAGAAAACATCTGTGGTAGTCAGAAATATCTAGGCATAGCAGCATGCAAAATGTATATGAAGGGCGAGAGAAGACAGAGAGGTATACCAAGAACCAGAGACAAAGAATGGTGAAGATAAGTTAAAAAAAAAAGTAAATTAAAGATCGCTTTCTATGCCTTTAGGCGTATCGTGCATATGGGAAGAGCTCCCATATTTTTACAGACCATCAGCACTCGGTGGGTAATGTGGTCAGCATTACGCCGGCTGTCTTTACTTTTCCAGGACAGCCCATCCTGGTACCCATTTTAGGCTGGGTCGGCCTGCGACGCCCCATACCATAATAAAAATCCACGCAGCCTGCAGTGGGTTTCGATCGCGGTACGCTGGATTACGAGTCGGACTCCAACGCCTAAGCCACGGACGCCACATGGTAAATGTACTTTCGTCCTTTTTAGGACGTAATTTTTTGTTATTTGAAGCCCCACTCTGGCCTTTGCCAGGGGCCGCAATATAGGCAGGTCATAAATATGGCCAATAGCCTGAACGCGGTTTCTGGGACCTTTCCGCGGTGATCCTTACCCACATGGTGGCACTTTGTGTCATCGGGTGTTTGTCGCTTGTGTGATGTTCTGGTGGGGTAGAAATTCATTCATTCTACGTTGCGAAGCACCTGAATACTGAGCGAATTACTTTCAGCTTTACTTATACATCTCTGCGAAACTGTCGTTATGGAAACAACCAATGAAAAAACTTAAAGTGTCATACAGTGATGACTGTCATCATGTTCGTTCGTTCTTTTTTTCTTCTTAGCGTTCAGCGGCTTAACACTCTGATCAACAGTTCTAGTTGTTCGTCCACTTCTGAACGTTGATCTTGTTCCAAAACTTGAGTTTTGCGTGCACACTCATTTCACAGATCTGCTTTACTAGTATGCAGAAGGTTGGTTCGTCGCCTCTCATGCAGATGCACTACGACATAGAAGGCAACATCCCTAATTTGTGGCCTCTTAGGTCATTCTTGATTGGGGGCAGTGAGTCTATTCCCTTTTCCCGGGGTCCTAGAATCCAGACAGTGATGTTTATTACTTTCGGCACAAACATTCTTTATTCTCAACATATAGTGATCATAAACTGCTCCTCTTAATCCTTTCCTTTAAATTCTTCAATTTCTTGAGCAGCCTGGTCTGGAGCTGAAATCATCGATCAGGATTTTCTAGGTCCCCTGTCATTGATTATTTTCACGACGCAGTAGGTGTCACATAATGTTTATGTAGTAAGTATCTATATGTATAGGAGAATATATATTCTGCACATATGTGTGTGTAAATATATGTATCTGTGTGTGCTTTCCAACTAGTAGGGTTTCTTTACATACACCTTTCTTTGTCTTTATCCGCCTGTCTTGTCTGGTATTGTCAACATAAAGCATTCTCCATTGATCCACAACTTGAATTACTGTCTCCAGGTTCTTCTCTATTTAATAAAAAATCCTCAAACATTCCCATTCATAGTAAGTAGTGTTTACGTATACGAGAAGTATAAATGATTATTCTACCAAAGGGGGAAAAACAGTGATAAATTATGCATTTTCGTCGACTTACTTGACTAATATTTTGCTGAAACCATTCGCTGAAGTCAACTGCTGTAACAATAAGAAACGCAATGCCTGAAAGCAGATATATTAACATCAATCGCTGACAGTTACTTCATAACGATTTAAAAATATAGTATATGCATTTTTCATGTATTCTGCTCTACCTCAGACTGGTTTCATATTTCGTAGTCCATATATTTTGTTCATAAGCTCCCCCGCATGTGCGACGCAGTTTTTCGTTATTTTGAAGCCCCACCCCGGCTTTTGCAAATATAGCCTAAAGGCTGAACGGGGTTTTAGGACCTCTCGTGTCACTGGGTGTTTATCGCTCTGTGTGATGTCCCTGTTGGGGTAAAATTTACATACTTACTACTGTATAAAGGTCCTTTTTCCACGCCTTTAGGCGTATAGGGCATATAGGGCTACTTATATTTTCGGCACACGATGGGTGATGTGGTCAGATCACATCCAGGGACTGCACCCGGTACCCACTCAAGGCTAGGTCGACCTGGGAGCCGAGGTCATTTTTTGAAAAAAGTCCGGCTTCGCGAGGGAACGAACCCGCAACTTTCCGATCCGCACGCGAGCGTCTAGCCGCTACGCCACAGCGACTCCCACTTTCTACTGTATATTTTGTTTAAAGGGGTGTTACAATCTTTGTCTCACCCCACCCCCACCTCACCTCATTTACTCGGAACCCACCGGACAAATCTGCCCGTACACTGTAATATACAGAACAATGTATATGTAGTTTCTAGTAAAGTCCCTTTGCGCATCTACCACATATCCTGGGACTGAAAAAGTTAAAAACCAAAGAACTGACATCATTGCCCTGATTATTATCCCATACGGCTCGGTCTCTCTCGACACACATTCCGTAGTTTCCACGACGACCCCATATGACTCTCTTAAATACCTGCGCAAAGGAATGAGTGAAATCCAGCCTGCCACCTTCAGAGTCGAAGGTAAACAGCCTTGCTATTTCACTATAGATGGTAGCTTCAAAAAGTTCCCTGAATTTGCGTGTGGTGTAGATAGAAAAAAACAAAACAATTATTTACATGTCCTTTAAAATAGTACTTTTCGACAACTACATTCTTTTGCCAATGTTGATACAGTTGTAAATATTCATGCAACCCATTCTTTGACTCCCTTTTCAGCGGCTTTGTCGTATTGGCGACACTTTCCTCATCATCGCTGAATCGCTGCCCATTCAGTGTTGATTTTAGGACAGGGAATAAAAAGGAACAAGAGCTGGCCTCACAGACCGATTCCCTTTTAACATCAGGACAATATTAATAAAATAGACATAACACCCTCAGATGTCAATGAACAGACGGATTTCAATGAGCTGCTCTTTGTTGACGATCAGTGCATATTCCACAGTGAAAGTAAACAGCTGCAGGACCACATAAACCAACTACACGACAGTTACCTGAAACATCACATGAAGGTCAATATTTAAAAAACAGAA